TTCTGGGGGGGGGTCCAGTACCCCTGGACCCCCCCCCACCGTAAATACGCCACTGCAAATACACAAAATGGAATACAAAATTTCCATAGTGCTAAAAATAGAATTTCATTCAAACCGTTACAACAACGATTATTGATACGGCTTGAATATTTGATTATACAAAAAATTTAAAAATATGATTACATTATTTTATGATTAATCGGAAATTCGATTAATTGAATAATCGAATGTTGATTAATTGATTAATCGAATTTCGATTATTTGGCGATTAATCGTATTTTATAAAAACTGTAAAATAATCGATGAAACAAAATAATAATCGCAATTATCGATTAATCGAAATAATCGAACAGCCCTAAGTAAACATTATAATTAAAACATTTATTTAATATTAAAAATTACCAAACAGATAACATTTCTTTTTGGTTCATTCAATGGAAACCAAATGTAATACAAATGAAAATCTGACAAATACAAAATATTATTTCAATATTGAACATTGAAAAATGAATATTGATTTAATATTTGTTCAATATTTGTATGTTACTTGGGGGACATTATTATGAAAATATCAAACTAAGATTAGATTTGTTTATCTGGCCCACACACAACACAATAGACAAAATCTATTCCCTCAAATTCATATAACACAATTTTACGTGTATGGGTTTTTTTCGTGTATGTATTGCTTAGAAGTTTAGGTATATATAATATATGTAATATGTATAACAATCTTAAAAAAAATTCAATAATTATAATGTTTATCTAATATTATGATTAGGTAATCAGTTTCATTTACTATCATCAAAAAAAAATAATACATCTATTTAAAAAGAATTCCATTATTTATACTTGTATAACAATATTAAAAATAATATATTTAACTGATATATTTTGACAATATTGGTACCTATAAAATGATTTATTAATTCCATTAGATAAATTATTAGTTATTAAATTAGTAATTTAATTGTATTATTTTTATTACGTAATGTACTGAATGCTATCTGTTGCGTCAGTGACAATTCCCTACTTCTCCTTATAGATAATACCTATGAATAATCAAGAAGTAATCATCACCGCGCATTTATTACAAATCAGACAGTCATCGCTCGTCAGTGATCAGCTAAACTCAGCATTTCGTTACGTTACCGTGTACGCTCTTTAGTTTAAAAACTGTGAACGTGTTTTATTTTTTTTTAAAAAAATAAAAATGTACAACTGTGAGAAATGTGAGAAAGTGTACGTTTATAAGCGCGATTTGAACAGACACACTAAAGCCCACGATGGATTGACGAATACATGTGGGATTTGCCTCAAAGCATTCACTAGGAGAAACAAGCTCGGCATCCATGTTCAAAATTGTCATAGTAAGTACATTGAATATTCGCTTAAACCCTATAGGTTATTAATTGAATTAATTTTCCTAAATAGAAATTACTCAAAATACCATAGAATACCGAAATGCTATGCAGATAGGCGGCGTGATAGGTAAATATTCTTTGCGCTTTTAAATATCTATAATAATAATAATAATAATAATAATAAAAATGGTGATATCTTAATATTAATAATAATAATAATTCGTGTTAGGTCGCGCCTCAGTTATAAGATGGGCACCACCCCTCGCCACACCGCACGTCCAACCAGATGTCCCGCATTCACTGGACGGCGCGGCTCGAACCGCGTCTACCCCACCTCAGCTCCCAGTGACTACCTGCACACCTACCGTCACCAGGGTCATCTCAACGCTCGACGCTACACCCGCCCCCGCTAGATCTCCGTCATCGTCATCGTCACAGCAATGCAAGCTATACACCGAGAATAGTAGCAAAAATATTAAACGCAAAAAGGCGCGTATGCAATCGGTAAACACGTCCGGCTTTGTCGAGATCGAATCGTCGCTAGAACGTTTAATTGTGTGGTATTACAGGAAAAATGTCGAAAATGCTGCGAGTTATCGCGCTTTTCTTCACTCGTTAGAGCCGGAATTGATACGCAAATTACGCGAATGCGTTCATCTCCACCCAATTAAATATCATATCAAATTGGAGGCCACCTACGTCGTGCCTAACGTGGACAATGCGGGCGAAAACCGTGCCTTTAAAACGGCAGCGAGAGAATTGTATGCGAGCAGTGACGTCGCCCGCTCGGTCGATCGCGATTTTACCGCTCTTCTCGCCGAAGAGGACGCTTACGCGGGGAAAGGTAGCGGTTTCACCTTATCATGTATTGACGGGTTGCTCTTAGGCGTGTACAAGTACACGCCGATGGGCGGCTCGTCATATTTACCGCTACCAGAGAGTATTTCGAACCGCAAAGCTGTCATCAACCCGCAAAATATTGATTTGCAATGTTTCAAGTGGGCGATTTTAGCGAAACATGTTGCACACATCAATAGCAGCAAAGTCGGCGCGAATTATTGGAACGAAGAGCACCGCTACGACTTTTCCGCATTATCTATACCTACGCCCGTGTCGGAAATAAAATTATTCGAGCGAGCGAATCCCGGCACGTCCGTAAACGTATACGGCGTGAAAAGTTATGCGAAAAATAAGAAAAATAATAAATCGGTGGCGTTTCCTCTACGAGTAGTCGACAACGAGCTCCCAAATCATTTCGATTTGCTATTAGTCACCGGCTCGGGGGGAAAAAATCATTTTACATATATCGCCAATTTTTCGCGCCTCGCTAGCATACAAAAAAATAATCGCGAGCACCGTATATTTGTGTGCAAAAAGTGTTTCACCACTTTCGACGAGCAGCCTTTGAAGCACAGATTATACGGTGCGGAGGCGTTGGCACAGCATCGCATCGTATGCGGGACGCACAAAGCCGCCTTGCCCGTGTTGCCGGCGAAGGGTGCGATCTTGGAGTTTAATGCGCTGTGCAAAACGCAACGTCTGCCATTTGTTTTGTATGCGGACTTCGAGGCACTCATTGTAAAAACGTCATCACAGCTAGGCGGATCCAACACCAGCGTTTTGCACTCGCATCAACCAATGAGTTATGGCTTTATGGTAGTTGCTGCGGACGGGGTGCCAGTGGAATTGCTCGAGCAGTTCGGCATCCCGAGGACTCCGATCGTTTTCCGAGGATCCGAGTCCTCGTGCGATGTTGCCAAACAATTTGTCCTGGCCGTCACCGAGATGGCAGAAAGGATATGTAAATTACTCAAGACCACTAACGTACCGATCGCGATGAGCGCCGAAGATGTACGCGTACATAGAGTCAAGCTCGTGTGTGATTTGTGCATGGAAACATTTACCGTTTCCAACGTCAAAGTCGCACACCACGACCACTTGTCAGGTCTTTTTCTGAAAACTCTATGTAACACGTGCAATCTTAAATTACAGACGCCCAAGTTCGTCCCCTGTTTTATGCACAACTTATCGAATTACGACGCGCATTTCATTGTCACCGAATTGGGATATGATACCAACACGATATCGGTGATAGCTAACAGCGAGGAAAAGTTTATCTCATTCTCAAAACATGTGAATAACGAGTTCGCTGTCAGGTTCATCGATACGTGTCGTTTCATGGCGTCGAGTTTGGCCGACTTGGCGCGGAATCTCACGACCGCAAACTACGACAAGTTCCGCGAAGTCGCTAAAGTTTTCAGCCCGGCGGAGATGCCGCTGGTGACACGGAAAGGTGTGTATCCCTACGATTACACCGATAGCTGGGACAAATTGTTAGAGACCGAGTTGCCGCCCATGGAGGAGTTTTACAGCACGTTGACCGAGACGCACATAAGCGACGTTGATTACGGACATGCGGTCCAGGTGTGGAATCGTTTCGGATGCCTCACTCTCGGTGACTATAGCGACTTATATCTGAAAGTCGACGTGCTAATCAGTGCCGATGTGTTCGAGAATTTCCGTGATATTTGCATGTCGACGTACCAACTGGATCCCGCGTATTATTATACGGCACCGGGCTTCAGTTTCGACTGCATGCTAAAGTTCACGTCGGTAAAATTAGAACTCCTCACTAACTATGACGAAATATTATTTTTTGAGTCTGGAATTCGAGGTGGATTAGTGCAGGCGTGCGGGCGGTATGCAAAAGCCAACAATTCTAAGTCACCCGAGTACAAGCCCGATGAGCCGACCACGTGGTTAGCTTATCAAGATGGTATTTATAAATATAAATTTTTGTCCTATCATATGCATTAATTTTTTTTCTTAATTAGCGAATAATCTCTACGGATATTCTATGAGCAGATACATTCCGTATGGCGGTTTCTCGTGGTACGCGGGAAATCCGGCCGTAGCGTTAGCTCAACTCGAGTGGATGAACAGAGACGGATGACGTGGGACGGGTCTACGAAGTGGATATCACGTATCCACAAAATCTGCACGACGTACACAATGATATGCCATTTCTACCGCACTCCGGCATACCGAAAAATTCTTCTGTTCAAAAACTATTGGCTACATTTGAGCATAAAGAACGTTACGTCGTTCATTATTTAAATTTAAAACAAGCCATTGCCAACGGCCTGATCGTCGATAAGGTAATTATTATTATTATTATTATTATTATTATTATAAATATACTGATTATGTTTTCCATTTACTTATTTATTCATTTCAGGTGCATAGAGTGCTGGAATTTCGTCAATCCCCGTGGTTGGCACCATACACCACACTCAACACAGAGATGCGACAACGGGCGACAAACAAGTTCGAAGAACAATTTTTTAAAGATATGGTCAATTCCGTCTTCGGTAAATATATATATATATATATAACTATTAACTGCAATATAGATATAAATATAATATTATTATTATTATACAGGTAAAACTATGGAGTCTATGAGGAAGCGTATTAAGATGGAGTTGGTATCATGTCCAATCAGAATGCAAAAGCTTATTAATCGCCCGACCTTTAAATTATGCACTACTTATAGTGAAAATCTTGCAGCCGTTTCTATGCATAATAAAGTAATAGATTTCTGTAAACCTATTTATATCGGATTTTCAGTACTCGAGCTTAGCAAGACGGTGATGTACGATTATCACTATAATGTCATGAAACGACATTACGGGGATAAAATCAGCTTGTTGTACACCGATACTGGTACGTATATATTATTATTATTATTATAAAAACTATTAACTTAATTTAAATATTATTATTATTATTTTTATAGATTCTCTGCTATATCACGTGACGACAGAGGATTTTTATGACGATTTGGCGAACAAACCGAACTTGTTGTCTCGTATGGATACCTCCAATTTACCGACGAATCACAGGTGCTTCTCGTCGGCACGTAAGAGAATTCCCGGGCTGTTCAAAGATGAGACCAAGGGGCGTACCATGTATGAGTTTGTAGCACTTCGTGCTAAATCATACGCATACGACATCGAACGCACCGTTGAAATCCGCGCCAAGGGAATTCGCGCTCACGTTCTCAGAAATCACCTGACTTTCGAGGACCACAAGCGTTGCTTATTCGAACACGATGACGAGGGCGACACAACCGGAGATGAGGAGGATCTTAACGTGCACAGAGCCAAGCTGATAGCAATAGATTGTGGGCGACAAGTCATCGAACAAATACATCGAAACGCGACATTACCTCCATCGTCATCACCACCTCCACCGACACAAGCATATGATCCATACACGGCGTATAGGGAAAACGTCTCAATCCGATCGTTCAAGCATCGAGTTAAAACTATTAAAACGATGAAATTGGCCTTGAATCGATCGGACGATAAGCGTCACGTTCTCTCTGACAATGTGCATACGCTTGCGCACGGACATTATAAAATTATAAATTAATTATAAATGTTAAATAAATAAATAAATTATCATTATTTATTATTATTATTATTATTAAATAAGCTATAAATTATCACATTTAACGAAAACAACTTCACCTTATCTTCCCACATCCTTAAAATTCATTATAGCACTATCGCGGTAATATTGTTCAAAAAATCCCTCCTTATCTGCATTATGATGAGGAATGGTCAAGACTTGTTAAAATCAATTATCGTCCTTTTATGAGTACGTAATTTGCAGTTAGTAGCATCTTGAGTTTACGAGCGTTCTTAGTCGCCGTCGAGAAAAAAATTAAAAAAAAAAAAATTATGTCAGATTTAGATTCAGATTCATTTTTTAGAACGGTGCCAGAAGCACGATGCATGGTAAGTTTTTTTAACTAAATTATTTATATGTCCTTAAATTAAACTATATTTTATTTGCAGTCACCGGATTTATTCCCTATAACCGTCAACCCCGCAGATTATACGCTGCAAGTCACCGAACACGGGAGCTGTGAAGAGGGTTGTTTCAAAGCCGGACAACGTTTTCCTTGGAAGTCACCAGACACGGATTCGGACTCTATCTCCATTTGCAGACTTATATCCGGTGATTTTGTTTGTAACGGGAAGATACTAAGTGAGACTTAATATATATATATTTATTTATTTATTTATTTATTTTTAAACCGCACACCATATTTTTTAGACGATGCACAATCATTTCACTGGAGCGATGTACCCTGGTCGAGTAGTGACGAAGCTCTCGATGTAGTGAGGCATTGGAAGAAAAAAATGATTTCAAGATCCGTCATAGACTCAAATTAATATTAATATAAAATGTATAGCTACTTACGTGCAAATAAAATATCTTTAAATAATAAATAAAATGTTTTTTTTTTTTTTTTTTTTTTTTTTAACTACCTTATCTCAAACGGATAATTGTATTATACAACTTATTAAATGTGTATTATACATATACCGAGCTTCATAAAATTCGTTTGCATTTGATTTTTAAAATTATAGGATTGAAATAAAATATAAATATGAGTGTATTGATTAACTAATTTTTTTTTATTTTTAAAAAATTTACATTACACATTTATAAAAGGCTGCGACGGAGAGCGACGCGTCTGTTATAGATTTCAAATTATTCAAAATCTATAACAAATCGCCCCCCTTGCTTTCCTTTATAAATTAAAGAAACTGGAGGCACGTTACCTAAATTATACTCTATAATTTTTGGTCCCGACACCTCAATTGACTTGGGGAGGAATACATTAATTATTCCACCACCGCGTTCTCCGTCTCTCAACGCGCAAGTAATTGATGGCCCATATTTAGTCTCCACCTCCTTCATGCTGATGACAGCATATGGAATCCCAATAGTTAAGTCCGCGATCGAGCCGTTTTTATTGTTGCATTGATTTTTTAGCTCACTCAAAAAATCCATTTTAAACTAAAAATATCATAAATTAATATAATTTAATATATTATTATTATTATATAAAAAATTGTGCATTGGAAATCTATTATAACTGAACGTGTTATGTTCACGTAATGCATCTACATTTTATAAGACTTATTAAATAAAATAAACTCACTTTATATATACGAGTATATGAAACGACGGATACGAAGATGTTGTAAAAGTATATAATATGTAAATAACGGAGATGGAATTCTGAAAATGATGTCCGCTTAGTTTAAGCAAATGAATACAACTGATCTCTCGTAAGGGAGGGTCGAGCTCCACCAATTGATAAGTGCATATTATTATATAATATTGCACGATATAATATAACAGACGAGAAAAGTCAAGGATGGATAGGGTGAGGCAACAGGTCGGTATGTAGATGAGGTCCACAGTTAATTTCTAAAGCGTTATCCTAGTACGCGGTAGTCTTAAGACATCCAGATGTTGATTATTAAATAAATTCGTCATTAGTGAGAAAAATACTAACGACTAATGAGTATTAGTTATACATCAACATAATATTTGTAGATTATAATTTCATGTACGGGAAAAAAATAATATTATTTTTTATAAGAAGTATTTTAAAATGTGTTAACGAACATTATTATTATTATTCTAGATATTATTTTTAAAAGAAGTACTTTGGAACGTGATAACGAAGATTGTCCGACGGGGCGATTACCCGGCAGACTCCAGATGCTTATATTACAGTATATAGTTATATTTGTGTGTATCCGTGCGCGCGCGTGTGTGTGTGTGTGAATGATAAAACTCGATGTAGAACAACAACAACAGCAGCATAATATAAATATTTTTATTTCGAAATATAATATAATATAATATAATATAATATTTTATATACTGAAATTAAATTACATATCATATTATTTTCACATATTATTTTTAAACCATTTTAACAAAGCAAAAACACGATTATAATATGTACACTGCGTATAATCCAAATCTTTATGATATAAGCAGCACGGTGACCTCAGCTCACAATGTGTATTTCCAACCGTTTGACCATATAGTTGATTAAGCCTAGGACACTCTAAATCCGAACCCATTTCAATAATTTTGACTCGTGGAATGAAATCTTGTATGATCTGCCGTTTTTCTTCGCCTTTCACGTAAATACATTCAAAATGTTGTGATTTTAAAATCCTTTTGATTTCTGAGTACTGCACGTCCCCGCAATCCGAAGATAGTTGATGATAGTTACGATGTAGCCACATGTTTACAGCTCTGCTTTTTCCCGGAAACGTTGTTTGTGCGTGCTTGAAAATCCAATGTTGACTTGCACAATTGTCCACGTCCACTATAGACATTTCTTTTATCAAATATTTTGAATTCGGACCGAGTATACATTGAATGTCCAGAATAGCTGATGTCATCGTTCAAGTCGTACTCCTCGTTCCGCTTATAGGTTTATTATTATTATAATTATTTTTATTATTATTATTATTAGCGTCTTGCTGCGGAGGGTGATGAGCACTAACTGGCCGATTAGCGGCTAATGCATCTGCGATTCTTTCTTCGAGAATAGTTATTTCGCTACTTGCCCAGCTCGAAGCGGCTTTCAAATCTATAATATTTTTGTTTATGATCTCTATGGATTTTATAGAGGCGTTGATTTTAGTATTATTTTCTAAAAAATATTTATCAAGCGTTAACGCGAATGTTGATTTTAGCTGTGCTATTTCCACTTCGCTCGCACGAATCTTTTCATTGAGTTCACCGATTTTAGTATTATTTATTTCAATTAAATTAAGATGCGAATTGAGTTCCCGGGCAAATTTTTCGCTCATGTCCGCGATTCTCTTCTCCATCCGACTAGCGGGCGAAGCACCAAACACATCCATGGTATTACGTTAACTACATTTATATTTTAAGATCAGCCTTATTTATCCAACTATTATGATCGTCCGTAAAACCGAACCAACGAACGAAAACACGTCGGCCTTTACTTCGAATCACTTTTTCCGCCAGATAATCGTCGGGTAGTTTTGTTTTGAGGAGTTCTTCAGCGTAAAAACCGCCAGCTATCGGACTACCTGTATAGTCTTGAAGGATGAATGTACTTGGCGCAGTCTTATTCACTTTAATAATCGTAAATATTTCTGTAGACCAATTGGGTAGATATCCTTTGGTGAAAACACCCTTGTACACGCTAATGCGGACTTTGTCACCAACGTTAAATTTAATTTTCGCGGTTTCCGTCGTATCACGTTTTAATTTTACTCGAGTCGGATCCGCGTCAGCTTGCGCTGGTGACACCCCGATCGTGCGATGCACCGACTTATTATAGTCCTCGATTAATGTTGGCAAAATCGATGTCCAAACGCGTGATCCTCTAGCGGTAAATTGTTTAAACATCCGCTCTTTCAGTGTACGATTAAAACGTTCTACGATACACGCTTTGAGCACGCTGAACGTGCTATACATTTTGATATTGTATTTCTTTACCAAAGCCTCAAAATGTTTATTGTAAAATTCACGGCCGCGGTCTACGTGTAATAGATTAGGTCTATTCTGCGCGAAAATTTTACTAGTGCCCGCCGCGACTTCTTCACCTTTTTTAGATTTTAACGCGACGGCCCACGCATATTTAGTAAAGCAATCGATAACACAGAGTATATATTTATATCCTTTATTCGCGCCGGAATATTGCTGCATGTCTACGAGGTCTGCTTGGAATAAATCGTTTTTACCGTAAACAATAACGTTACGTCGTGGATATTTCCTTCTCGCCGCCCTGTGAAGTTCGGCGGCTATAGCGTGTTTAGACATTTGGAATTTTTTTCAATATTTTCGCCTCGACCAGCTCTTCGCAAATCGTGATTATCTCGTTACGAACTCCCGTATTGCCGGCTGTGAGAGAGGAATACAATAAACGGAGCCTATTTACCAGCTCATTAGGATCCCGCCAATATATAACGGTATTTTTCTGTAGTCGCATATTAATGCCAGTACCCGCAATGGTACCCCTACTTTGCGGAAACAGTTTTGAAATTATGTCAATGTATTTCAAGCCCGTAGAACTACGGATACGCAAGCCATCCAACGTTTTATGTGCCGATGTTTGAGCTAGAATCGATTTATAAGTATTCAAATCCGTCTGTGTGTATTTTATCGGCACAGGAGATTTAATGAATATTAAATCGATAAGCCCCGACGTTAACGGATAAGTAGTGCCTTCTATATGTATCACATCGTCGAAAAATTTTGTTTCTTTATTACCTAATACAAAAACACCGTTAGATAATATTTTAGGTCCGTATATCCTGTCCAGACACGCCTTGGTCCAAGGTCCAAATCTCTCGCTCAAAACGTGGTACGTTGCCGCCGACGATGATAGGAGGGGTGGTGTTGGGGGACGATTCACAATAGAACCCGCATCCGATTGCAGCTGTGGCGCAAGCGATGGCGTAGAGGAGAAAGGTTGCGACCTCTTGGTATTTGTTTGTATTCTACCGAGTGGTTCGATAATAGAACTAAAAGTATTATTTATTAACGACTCTGTTTCAAATCGCCCCTTTTTC